TTTGCTTGATTACCATGATACAGCATTACATTGTTAATGTTAAAAGAAAAAAAAACATTTTAAGGTTTTAGTGTTTTTCTTTTTTATGTGACCCACATATTGAACATGTTATCAGCTACTGTTTTTTAATGCATCGTCCTACAGTACATTAAACACACAAAAACTAGGTCATATCGATCATCTGACTAAATTGTAATGGGAATCCTAATTGCTTCTGTTGGCTGAGAGAAAAAACAAATGATTGGATCAGGTTTTTGATAACCAAAGACAGGAAATGTGTTTTCATGGGCACTATGGGTAATACACAGGTTTTAAAGCTTTGTGGCAAAATACAGAAATAATGATTCAACAACACAGAAATAGTGATTTCAGTACCTTAATTTGACCAAAAATATTGTTTAATTAGTTCAAAATTTGTCTTAACTCCCTAGTAATAGTAATAATTTGGGGGGATGGGAAGAGTGCTATTGAGTCGGTGTCGACTCATGATGACCCTATGGATAGTTCCCCCGTCAACATCCGTAAAATTTTCATGGCAAGATACAGAAGTACTGTAGATTGCCAAGCCTTTCTTCCTCGCAGATAGTGCTAATGTTGTTGCCGTTGTCACGGAAACGTGATCCTCCGCCGCCAACACTACCCCATACTGCTGCTGCCCGGTATGAGTTATTAGAGAATCTTGCACCTGACATGGGATACGCATCCACTACCCTGAGATTATGAGTCTCATACTCTACCAACAGAGCTAGTCGGGGCATAGTTATAATTTTAACTAGTGTTAATTATTATAAGACCACTTGGCAGTTCTATTCTGAACTATCAGTGAGAAAATGAGTTTCATAACAAAGCATTTTTTAAAATAATTTTGTGCTGTAAATCAAGCAAAGTATGTCCCCTGAGAGGGGATAGCATTTTAATTATTTTTCATATACTTATATGTTTTTACAGGGCTTTTAATTATATGCTTGCATTTATCAAGTGGCATTGATTCTTGGTGGTGACTGATTTTGTAATTTAGTGTTTCAATACTTCAAAACCATTTTGCTCCATTCTGCCTTATTTGAAATTGCTTCTAGATAAGGCACGATAATTTCCTCACATTTTATTAATGACAACTCCTAAGAATACAATAGAAGTGTACAAAGCAAACAACAAATGAAATATTAAACCTCCATAGTCTGGGTGTTTTGGCTTAGTGTGAGTGTGCAATGAACAAAACACAGAGCATTACCTAACACTACAAGAATGAGTTAATGGGTTAGATGCTCCAGTCTTGTATATTAAATAATAGACATCCTCATTTACATGCTTGGCTCTTTGTTTGCACAAACCTAAGCTTACATTTAGTTTTTGTCAATTTTAGTTTCTGCGTTTCATGTTTTGAAAATACTTTTTCAAGATTTCAGGTTTTGGAAAAGGTATTATCGGATTAACAGAAGGTGATTGCTTAAATGGTATCCTGACATTGTCTTGTACTGAAAATCATTTTGAATGTTGCTTGTTTCTTGTGTAAAGTGTTCCTTTACAAATAGTATCTAATACCAGGCCAGTGTCCAAGAGAGCTTTTGTGCAGGATGAAGCCTCTTATTTGATCTTCCGAAACATAGTTTTCCAAAAGGCCTTAGAGTGTTGTTGATTGAGATGATTTAGCACTTTAATCTAAAGAACTGTTGTACCCATTTATAAAAATCAACACCTAAAAAAAGAATTAAAGAATCTGACTGCCCTGCCTATAGCGAAAAGCATTCTTCTTGTAACATGACTCATGGTGTATAAAAAGACTCTTATGATTTTGTCACTGGTCAGGGTTGTGAAAAGCATTCAAATTCTTCATGCTGGGGGAAGGGGAAATCTGGGGACAAATAGCACTTGAATCTTTCTTGAATATGTCACCTGGGTTTCAGCCACATGCTGTACACACAGATTTTCAGTTCTGTGGGATTGCTTGTTTTTCGTCTATTATAAACTATGTCCTCTTCTAGTGTGCAATTATACTTCTTTGGCATTTGTTTCTAGCCAGTGCTTTCAAGGTGTCAGATTTATTGGGCAGGGTAATTCAATTTACCTAATTTAAGTTATATACTGTATACAGTAGGAATATCAGTTAATGGAAATTTGGTTCCGTTAATGACAGTTCTTAAATACTTGTGTTATATGAGCTCGGCAATTACACTTTGGTTTTTTATGGTTGTAACTGTCTACCAAAGTTTAATTCATAGGATGAATTGACACTTCTGTTATGCAAAAACGTTCATGTATTATGCAAAGTTTAAACATGTTTTAAAGTTGTAACCCTGACTGGAAACCAGGGGGGCTGATAAATAGAGTTTAGGCTTCCTCTGCTGTTCCCTCTTAGTTTATGTTGATGCTAAATTATAAGAAACTAGCAGATGCCACTTCCAATATACACTTTCTGAGACTAGAGGAAGGTTACAAGGGCTAACTTCATTCTCCTGACTACTGTATGTAGAGCTGTGATAACTCTAGTCCTTGAGGGCTGCTGGATTGATCTAGTTTTCTCTCCACCTGGGTTTAACTGTTATTGATTTAATAAGTCTAAATTGCTGTTTCTGTGTTTGGAATTGAGGAATTTAAGTTCCCTTTCATGTCTGCGAGACTACAGCGGTATGAGACCAGGAGTATCACTATTAGTTTTTTATTCCCAATTCAGGATGCTCAAACCCAGTTTAATCTCACTATAGATTCCACTACTAGTAGTAAAAATGTAAGTAAGATGAATCAGCAAATAAGAACACAGGAAATGTTTTATCTTCCTCATCTGGGATATCGGTTAATGCAATATTCTATTGATTTTAGAATTTCGCCCGCCGGTGTTTTGATTAATAAGATTTAATCCACATAGTAATTTACAGTACACCACACAATGTTTTGAGTCTGTTCTTCACTAATGATCTTGGGTCATTATTGGGCTTTAGATGTCTTCTTTCATCAATAACATTGAATATTTGTAATACTAGTATTTAATCCCATAATAAATGTACCTGTTCAGGACTAGGGAGATTCAGTCCCTTTACTATTAGTATAAGTAATGCCTTTGAATCCAAGGATTATACTGGTTGCTCTTTAATCTCTTTCTGGGGCATCAATGGTCTTTATCTAATATTCTAAAGTGAGGTCAAATAATGTATAATATAATTAATTACTAAAGCTTTTAATGTGTAATTAGGCTTGACTTTGGTTTCACTAAGTCAATTTGCTTTACTTCTTTCATTCATTTCATTAATTCACTTATTTCATTTCTTTGTGCTTCTGTTGTTTAGTCTGTTTGTGGTATTGTACAACACCCTGACTTTCTTAAAGGGTCATAAATACAATTTTTTTGGACAATTGTGTCACACATATACTACATTCTTTGTTTTGTGGAGGTTCAGACAGTGGCGTAGCCAGGGGAGTGGCAAGGTGGGAAAAAATTAAGACATGTCCTAAATGTTTTTTAAGAGTGTGCATGTAGCCTACAATATATTGTAAATGGTTGGTGTTGGCAAATATGTGCTATATCATTGTAAATTGTTTCCATGCAGCTAAGTGAAAGTTGCATAAGGTTTTGGTTTGTGTATCAGTTCAACATTGCCCTCAGTGTATAACAGGGGTTGCCAGTGTGAAACTGGTGCAGACAAGAATAGTAGTACACCTTTTAGTAGTGCATCCTATTTTATAAGGCAAATCATATAATTTTAAAATGGCATCCCCATAGATGTCCCTGCCACCCCTCTACTGAGACACACAAAAATCCTGGCTATTTCACAGATAAACAGCAAGAATTATTTCTTTTAAAAAATCATTATTGAATAGAAAATAGCTAGAACAAAACATACTGTGATTTGCATATCTGACTTTCAAATGAAGACTAACATTTCAGTCTTCTGACCTTCATTGGAGATTTCAGATTCTACCAAGAGTTTTTCCCTTCATTTTGACATTCTGTGTTTCAAGATTATACTCCAAGTCTGGTTAAAAACTGACATTATGAGACATTTGGTTTTGGAATTCTTACCTGCCGTCTACCTTGATTGCTCTTTCTCAGTGTACATCCCCATGGGGGTACTGTCTGCTCAAAAAACTCTCAAAGAACGTTGTTCTGATACTGAGGCTAACTAGCCAGGAAAACAAAGTCCAGTCTAGAGTTATTTTAAGAAAGTTGGAAGTTTATTTCTCTCTCCCAGCTGTTTCTCTGTCATTCTCTCTGTCTCTCCATTTTTTATTCTTTCTCACTCTCTGTCCAGACCAGGATTCATTTCAGATCCCAAGTTATTTTTCACAAACTGCTTTCCCCATTATGAATCAAGGTTACTAAATTGTAAGACAGTTTGACATGGAACCAGATACAGATGAATAGATTAAAGCACTGCTAATAGAATTTATACTGAAGCATGTTTATTCAAGTTCATTTCTGAAGCCTTTGAAATAAGATCCGCGGATACCAGCTCACACTTTTGACTAATAATCTGAATAGCATAGCACACTAAAGGTCATTGTCTGTATTTGTCTAGCAGCTGTATTAAACATACTTTTGATGATAATTAAGACAGTTAACATTTTAAAAGTAGAGGAAAGAATTATGTACTGTAGTTCTAGTTAAAGTGCTGACATGTCAGAATGTGAAACTTTACAAAAGCAACACAGACTGTTATTGTTATAGAGATCCCCACAATAGGAAAGAGTTACTCTGCTAACAAGCATACTGTACTCTGTGTACAAAGCTATATGACTATGGGTTATCTGTATCTGTGAAACAGAGCATATGAAAATGATTTCCTTCTCTGTTCAGGATATTACTTTTATTGTTACTAACTGAAACCATACAAGTTTATGATTCTTTGTTATAAATTAAGACTCTTTTAGATCCAGTGAATTTCTTCTAGTATGCTTACAGCATGCACTTTCTGACATTTTTCTCTAGTTATAGAAAGTCATTCATATTCTCCACTTCTTTGAGATGTCACACTGTATCCCAATTTTATTTTCTTTTTTCTCGTCAGGATTAAAACGCAGTTATACCTGTGAAGTCTGCAGCGTCACGTTGAACTCTGTAGCACAATATCATGCACATCTCCAGGGCTCCAAGCACCAGAACAAGTGAGTATAGAGGCCTTGTTTTGTGATGCAGTCAGATGCACATTTTTATCTTAAAAGAAGAAGAGTTTTACATTTTTAAACAGGCATATTCTTATGAGATAGGGTGTGACTTTGATAGCTATGTTAAATAGTAATGATAAATTATAGCAAAAGGCAAATATAAGAATCTCTTAAATACAGACCCTGTAAAAACCTTATTTTTCATGTTTTGTTAGTTTTTTCTGCCATGCTCTACAAAGAAATTAACTTTAAGGCTTTTGACTTTAGGCTGTACCACTCAAAGATATACTATAGTCCTAATTCTACCGGACAGCAAAGAATGCCTGGCAGAGCTGTCTCTGAAAGCATTTTTAAATAGCTCACATCGGAATTTAAAGGCATTTAATATCAAACTGTATTAACAATTTGTGTTTTTTGTATTTTGTTTGTGTTTTGTTGTTATTGTTGTCTGTCTGTTTTTGTTTGGTGGTGTTTTATGTATGCAATTTAAAATATATTGTTCAGGACAATTTTGCCATTTTAAGCTCTGCAAGATACAACAGCAAATGCAGGTATTAAGTGTTTTTTGGGGGACTGTTTATAGCTATTATAGCTCTGAATAGATAACCAGGCCACATACAGTAGACAGATTTTTTTTTTAAAGATTGCTCAATATTCCAAAACTATTTATTTCTCCTTGCACTACTGGCTAGAATTAAACTTCTATATAATCACATAGAATTAGTGGTAGATTTAAGATATATTTATCTCTCATTATCTTTAAACAATATAGTGTATGAGAACATAAATGTTTAATGAATAAAGAAACAATATATTTTAATGCACATATATCTAGATTTAAAATGCTTAAATGAACAGGTTCCCATTTAATAGTAAACATCTTTTCCTTTCAGTTGTAATGCAGTAATAAAGTGTTATTTGTTTTTGAAGTTCGGCAGTTTCTGGCTAGTCTTTGCTTACATTTATTATATGACAAAAAAAGGTTTACAGATCATTGCTCTGCCAGAGCTCTGTGGGGTTTATTTCACTGAAATTAGTTTAATCCAGGCAGGAATCTACATCATCAATATCATCATAGAACCATTGTGATTAAAGGCTGGTGATCAAGGTTGACGATTTAGGGTCCAACTTTTTGGTGCTGCTGTTGAGAAAGTTACATTGTCATTCTTCAGCTTTATGACCATTGAAATATGTGCAAAAACAATATATACTGTATATGCATATATGAACAAATGATATGTCAGCCATGGTATTTTGCATTTCATTTCTAGATTGCCATGAGTCCTTCAATAACTGTATGCTGATTAAGTTTCAGCATGTCAGGAATGATCTTGTCCTAAAACAGGTCATCTGCTTTTCCTGATTGTAATTGTAATCACTATTTAATAATCAGGTCTGCTCACCCTTACACCAGTAGGGGAGTGATAAGGACAATACAAGCGTTCCTTGAAATCATCTGCAATTGGAGCTATCTGCCACTATCTCACTATGTGGGAGCTATGTCCCACAGTGATCTGGGTAGCATTAGTTTCAATAGGAGGTATATAGAGCTAACTGAAATACAGTAAATACAGTATGGGTTACATTGACACAGTACACTGAGCACACCATGTTCAGCTGAAGCCTACCCAGAGCCAGTGGAATTGTGCACTGCAATATTGTCCACAAAAATCATAGCCCAGCCTTGCACCAGTTATGCATTTGAAACCTTGAAACCTTTACTTCTTTTTATGGTATTATTACTAGATGTTTAGTAACTCTTGCTGTTGTTTCAATCTGGAATTCTATTTGGAGTATATGAGAGAATTCAGTTGTAGATAGAATTCCATCAGTGAAATAACTTGACTGTGCTGCACTAACTGTGTTACCACTGCAGTACCACAGCACATATTTAAAGTCATCTCAGGTTGCAGCTACTTTGTTAAATGAGGTTGTTTTTGTCACTCCAATACAGAATATGTTTTCTAACAAATACCTGTATACTACTACAACTACCACTACTACTAATAATAAGAAAAACCTAAAGCGCTCCCCTTAATTGGGAAGACTATGTATAAAAAGGACTGTGATTCCTAGATGGTTCACCCAATATAGACGTAAATACCCTTGAATTAAAGCTTACATTCTGCACTTTGACTTCATAGTTATTGTTTCATTTCAAATGCAATGTGCTGGAGTACAGAGCCAAAACAACAAAAATTGTGTCACTGTCCAAATACTTACAATATGGACTGTACTATACGTGTTCCCTGCGATGGACTGGTGTTACATTCACTGTATAGTTCCACCTTGTGCACAGTGCGTGCCTATCCACACACAGAATGAGTCTTCTTGGAAAACATTAACAGGCTTATAAAATTCCTGATAATTGGATTGTCTGGTTGACATACCATAACATATGTTACCCCATGTAAATCCCTGCATTGACAATAAATTTTGTGTGCAGTGGCTCACTTTTAACCTCGGGGCCTGCATTTGAATGAAGGCCATCAATCCTGGTGAAGGAATGGCTTTCCTGAAACAGTTCTGCGCCCCTTGTTTTACTGAAATTTACTGAAAGTAAATTCAAATATCTAACCTTACAAAAAATGTTTAGACAGATGAAGGAAACATTCTTTGTTCATTTTCATTTAAGAAGAGCAGAAGACAGCAGTAATGTCTTTCTTGTAAATTTTCATTACATATAATGGCGATTCAGAGTATGATCCTGTTTGATACAAATTACTACATTTCCGTTAACCTGTATCTGCTGGTTAAATAACATTTCTAGGGAACTGGTTGGAAGAGCTAATAAAGAGGAGAAGGAAATGTGTTAGAAAACAGACTACTCCATATTGAAATAAATCTTGAATATAAGCAGGGAAACCAGCAAGCAGGATAGTGTGTTGACAAAAACCATATTTGCTATTGCGCTTTGCCATGGTTGGTTATATTTGCAGTAGGCTTCTATGAATTAACCTTTTGTGCATGTGGGCCACAAATCTAAATAAATAATTCAATTCAATTAGACTGCTATTCAATTAGCTGTCAAAGAAGCTGGAGAAATATAGCTTGTTTTATTGCTACTTTATCATTGACGTCACTATACTACACCAATTACGATAAACTGACTTTTAACAACAATAGTGTAACCTTCATGTGCCTCTCTTTAGGTGATTCATATTTTATCCTTCAAGGTTAGCCTATTTTTTTAATCTATGTTTAAATGTTAAAATTACATCACACGATAAATTACCTTGTGCATGAAGCTGCACCGTTTATATTAAGTGACATTCCAGTAAATAAGGGGGAAAGTCAGTGTGGTGAGCACAGATTCAAATTGTACCTTTACCGTACAGTTACGGGTGCTGTTACAGGCATAGTTGTACTATGTGGTTTATGCATTTGTACATTGTACAGTATTTTACTGTTTATAGGCAGCCATACTCTGCACCTTAACAAAAGGAATTAAAATAATTGAAAGCCTAACATTTTCACATAAACATCTGAAGAGATATATTTAAGTATAGCTGCAAACTTCAATGCTACAATACTATAAGACTACAAGACTAGAAAACAATCCCATGGCACACAAAATATATTGTTGTAATTACAAATAAAGCTTGCTAAATCCATGTTGACAAGAGTTGTTACAACTGAAACTATTTTGTTAATTAATAATGGTATTAATTGATCAAATAACAAATAACAATGCTGCATTTTATTTAGGCCACCTACAGTAATTACTAAAAAGCAGTCACACATCTATAAGAAAACAAACAGGATTATCCTAAAACTAAAAGGTTACTTCTAGAGGGACACATTCATGGATAGTTTCCTATGGAAAAACTGTTTAATTTGAACACAGAGAATGTTTGACTGAGTTGTATATATCCGTGAAGCAGATGAACAGTTTCAAATCTACTTTGCTTTAGGCTCCAGTACTAGGGGGTTGTGCCTGGAAATTAAATGGAGGTACTTCTTTTAAACAGATGCTGTTGGACAGCCAGAACAAATTACCAGACCTAGGTTTGGATGCTGATGAGGTTACTGGATCAATAATCTACTGGGAAACAGATTAGAATAATGATCAAAATAGCTTCTTTTTGTCCACAATCATTCTTTTTTAACATAATGTGTTATACTTCAGTTCCAGTCAAGGAAGTCCATGTAAGAACAAAAATAAATAACATTTTAACGCACCTGTTATAAATTCAAAGGGACATACAGTACATTAGTTCTTTCTTCCAATAAACTAGTAAAACAATCTTGTTTTTTATTATGCATCTTGCAGTTTTTTTTCCTTTTGTTGCCTCATGAGAATATTTACTCAATATGTTGTTCTTTCATAAAGTGCAAATAAATCTCTTAAAAACTATACATGATTCTAGGGGGTGTGATACTGTATAATTTCTGTATAAAATGAGAGAATAAAGGAAGGTTCAAACATATGACAGATGTGGTCAACATCTTACCCTAAAGGGTTCATATTCACTTACTTTCCAGGATTCCCAAATGGTTTAGTCCTATTTGATCATTTAAAATGCATTTTAGAGATTTAAACAATGTATACATGTGAACGTTTGCATTTTATGTAGTAGACAAATATCAGTTCTTCTTCTAATCTAATTATGTGGCCTTTCAGCAAAATATACAATCTCAATAAAAAAAAATAAGTGACAATGGAAGAGTACTGAGGTAACTAGATGGACTGTAGCAAAGAGGTGTTTCCTCATTTTCTGGAGTATTTGTTTCACTGCTGAATGGACTGTCACGTCAAAATCATGTTCTGTAAAACAGTATGGTCCTTTTAGAAAGAGACATAGCCTCTGAAATGGTAGGCTAATGTTTGTATTTATAAAATATTAAAATGGAACTGAGCCAAATAAGTCAATGCCTGTTTCCAACAAGTTCGTGGTATTTTGTTTTTGATTGTTCTGTTTTGCAATAAAAAAGGCAAGTCTTTTCTGTCACTCCCTCAGCTACTTGAAAACAGAGTAGTAATTCTTTTTTTTTTCTGC